TGAAAGACTCCTGACCTGTAGTTTATCTGTGCCACCCTTTCTCTTGCTCTAAATGTTGTCATCCTTTTCCAGAATAAGTGGATGTTACCTTCCTCTCCCAGTGCAAGCTCAGTCTCAGGTGAATCTGTAATTCAAAGCTATTATGGCTCTTCCTCCTTCAAGTGTGGCCTGGGCTGCACCACAACACACAGCATCCCTTGTTTGACAGCCCCTGAAGAAAACTGGCCTCAGCTCAAGTGGTGGGGACTCGTATGGTGAAAACTTCACAGTTCCACCTCCACCACTGCTATGAGGTTACTCCCTCGCCACAAATGTAGTACAAAACCACCTCTGTATTGTAAAATTAAAAGGAGGGATGTACTGGAGCAAAATGGAAATGCTGTGCTTCATCCCTTGAGGTCATAAACTCACATTGCACTCCTGTCAGTAATGGCCAAAAGCTGTTTGGCATGAGCCTGACAACTTATTTCCTTCCAGGAGTGGCTGGACCAAACGCTGGACCTGCAAGTCTTGCGGTTCAGAACCTGTTCCAAGGGAGATTTCAGCAGTTCCCCAAAGTTCTGCAACAGCATCAAAATCCTATGCTTAAAAAGCCCAGGGCTTAGAGAAGTTCATGCAGGTGTCTAAAAGGGAGGGTGATTTTAGGAAATACTCAGCTTTGGCCTAACATTAATTCTCCTGAAGTGAAGTCAAGCTCCCCTTTGCCCTCAGTGGGAGCAGTGCTATGTTGGCACTGAAGGCTTTTGGAATTTTTGCTGTAAAAGTCAATATGCCTTTTATAGAGTCTATGAAAGCTGTAATAGCTGCACATGCAAAAGAAAGTCACTGCCCAGAAAAACAAATGCAAGGGAGAACCATGCTGGGTTATATGGCAGGGGCCCTACAGCGACCATGGCCTCCCTTTTGCAGAAGGACCCTTGGACGGGATCACACCATGTTCAGCTAACGCTCTGTTTATTATTTGACCATCTTTGGGGAGAACTCACTCCAGTCGCTCTGCTTTTCCTTCCCTTCAGCAACTGAAAAATGTGCCATGTGAACAGCACTCGACCGAGAGCCAAGGAAAACACAAAAACATGCACTGCTCCTTACCCCATTGCTTCCCTGAATGATCTTCATATTCTCCATTGGAGCCTTCAGGTACCTGGCTGTCCTTTCCTGAGCTGGCATCATCTGCAAAGGAAAGGAAAGGGGTGATGAGGCTAGATTTAGGTTAGGCATTAGAAAGAAGTTCTTCCCTGTGAGGGTGCTGAGGCGCTGGCACAGGGTGCCCAGAGAAGCTGTGGCTGCCCCATCCCTGGCAGTGTTCAAGGCCAGGTTGGACACAGGGGCTTGGAGCAACCTGCTCTAGTGGAAAGTGTCCCTGCCCATGGCAGGGAGTTGGAGCTGGATGAGCTTTAAGGTTCCTTCAACCCAAACCATTCGGAGATTCTCTAATATGACTCTTTGTTAAGAAGGCCTCCTGCAGTACAGCAGTACAATAACAAGAGTTTGCATTTGCTCCTGGAGGCACCACGCATCTGAAACACACTCAGCATACATTTGGCATCCAGATCCTGGCACTTACAGCCTGGCCAGTTTAATGAACAATTTAGTTTGTTACTTTATGTGCTTTTTGGCAGGCTACCACAGCAATAGGAGATTAATCAGTGTTACATTAATAGCTGGCAAAAGTCTCTTTGTTTATGCTTACAGGTTGCTGTTCCCTAGGAGGAGCTGATCTGATGCAAATAATGGTATAAATCAAAATTACAGATAATTAAACCTAGGAGCTGGGGCAAGACTTATGTGTTCTGTCACACAGAGCACAAGCAGTGGAATTAGGGCCACTAATTCGCCTTTCAGTTTCCATACAAAATCAGGAAAGCAAGTAGGCGTGGGGTCAAATGAGCCCTCAAGGGATGCTGAATGCAAAGCTACAACTGGAGAATGCAACATTGAATTGAAAAGCTGTTTGTGTTTTGTTGTGGGCTTGGTTTTTGTTTTTATTAAGACCACCTATCCACCTGTATTGACAACATACCACTTTGTCCCTTATCACCCCAGTTGTCCACACCAGTACTACAAAACAGCACCAAGATCTCAACTCTGTGCCCTGTACTGCTAGGAGAAATAGAAATCGCTACAGGGTGAAACCTACACCTCTTCAGCAGCTCCCACTTCAAATTGCCACTGGGGTATGGGCACCTACAAGGTCTCTGCAAGGGCCAAGCGAGCAGGAGAGTGTCCCGAGACTCAATCTGCAACCCTGGTGATGCTGGTGGCCTCACACCTCTGCAATGCCCAGATGTGAAGCTTTAATTCCTCCAGTAACAGCCTGACCTCTCCTGCGCGCTCAGCTCAGAGTATCCTCTTATAGCAATGCATCACATCAGGAGGCAGGTCCACCTGAGGGATGTTGGGCAGCAAAGTATGTCTCTTCCAAGACTACTTCTGTGCTCTACAGGTGGGACAGAGCCATACATCAGCTGGATTTAAGGTGAAGATCTTGATCAAGAGCTACTCAACTCCTATCTAAAGTGTACTCAAGTGTGTGAAGTTTGATTTTCAGAGATAGGCGAGGTAAAGACTGGGAAAAAGTTCACCTCAATAAGGAACTATTCCACAATGGTGTAAAAAAGTCCATAAAATCAAGAGAAGTGGAAATATCTGACCTAAGGTCTAAATCCCTCTAAGCACCCAACTCCTAAAACCCGTAAGAAAAAGGTCTCATGAGCAAAATAGAGGAAATTTATCCCTGTAATCTCTGCAGCAGAGGAAAGAACTAGCTTAGCTTACACATGAACACCAATCATCAACCCCCAAAACATGTACAAATAGTAGGACTGCCCTTTAGAAGCTGGGTTGTACTTCAACAGCATTTAGTACACAAACACGTGTGCGGTCCTTGTGTGAGAAGAATGTGTGTTTAACCCCATCCTCACCCCAGTTTCTTGCTATTTTGGAAAATCATTCCAGCTCTTCAGCATGGGGCATTTTATGCCAACAAATGCTCCGCTCTCATTTGCTGCTGTCCCTTAAGCAGAGAGGCTGCAATACCATATGGGTTTGTCCCCCCTCGACCCTGGCGGATTTTTCCCTTCTCCTTGTGGTTACTTCGGCACAGTTTCCCCTGGAGGTATGTACAGCTGTCACTTCGAGGGGAAAAGAAGATTGTCAGGGCAGCAGCGTGCCGTGCTCTTACTTGAGCAGCTCACTCCAGCTGACTGCCCCTTCCCACCTCCCTCTTAAACTCTATCCATCACTGGAAACTCAGAGGCTTTCCTGGGTGCCCCGGTCAGCTCCCATCCCAAACCACACAGAAGTGGCATAGACCACAATCACACTCAGGAAACATCAACTCTCATGCAGTGCCATACGTGCAGAGGTACCATCCAGTCTCCCCCAAGGCTGGCCTGTGTTACAGAGGAGGTGAATAACTCGTGTGTTTAGCAAATATATTTTCATTATCTTGCCAAACTGAGAGCAGAGAATATAAATATACCCATTATATATGATGGCTTGTACGTAAGAGATTGTCTCCTTTCAGTCAAAATACTGATTCGATTATCTTCTGGCACCTGTACGTATTTATTCACATGAATATCAGTAGTGCTATGGACTAAATCTTGGGTCATGTCTGACAGAGGACTTAGTAAACCCCTTAGCACAATTAGAGAAATGTATTGAGTAACGGAGAAGAAAGAAAACCTGTGGTCAGAGAGGTAGGATTCCTGCCCATTGTCAACTGCTGAATATCTTAAAAGTGGTTAAGATGTTTAAGTGGCGATGTTCTGTCCATTATATCTTAATCCTACTCAGCTTGATGTACAAAGAGCAGTATATCCTCCCTTGCCTCCTGCCTCATGTTACAGTATGTCAGCCCATGCGCGCTCCTCCTGCCTACACACAAGGAGTGACTGGTGTTCTCAACACCTCTTGACATGCTGCCAAGCTTTTGATGTAAGTAAAATTGTCCTGAATCGGTTTGACCCTTTGAAGATACTTCTTCAGTTGTTATCCTGTCAAATCGCAAACCTGCGGAGTAACCTACCAAACCCAGAAAAAGACATTGGAGAGGGCAAGAGATCAGGATAACTGATGCTACCATGCTGAACTATGAAAGAAGTAATGTGACAGAGGAGCAAGACTGAAATAAGTGACTGGAATTATTCAGGCATGTTGGTTTGGATCCACTAGAACTCGTTCCATGCTTGCTAGGAATGTGGTAACGTCAACAACAAGACATAGAAGTCTTGAGGGGGTGAAAATGTCATAAACATGGAAACTCATGTAAAGCAAAACTACTCCTGCCCATCTCCGGAGCTGCACACTGGGTGAGGGATGTTACAGCAGCCTCCCTTGCAATTACAATATGCAGTGAATTGGGCTTTACCTTCAGTGACTGCATCTGAATGCTCACACTTGAGAACTGTAGAAAAAGAAGGGGATTCATGAGATTCAGAAACTGGGTGAAACTAATTTTGGGAAGGTTTCCTGAAGCTCAATAATCTCCAGTCAAACTCAAAAGTGTGAGTGAGGCAGCAGAATAGCCAGTGATACAGTGATAAAGTGTTAACCTGGGATGTGGGTGACCCAGGGTCAAGTCCCTCTTCTGCTGCATTCAGAGAGGGATTTGAACCTCCCCTCTTGCACCTTGGGTGAGAGTCTTAAGCTTTGAACTGTGGTCTCAAAAAGAGACAAAAAAAGACCTTATTATTACATAAAGTGTAACAGCACTACGGGAGATGGATATCTCAGGAACACCCTTTGAATGGAGGACCTCTGTCTAATTCAGGTAACACCACGATTTAACTTCCACCTGCCCCATCCAAAGCTAGTACTGAGACTGGATGGAAAGAATCTCTCTCTCTCTCTCTGTTTTGATGAACTTTCTTATTTTTTAATTTTAACATCAAGTGGTAGGGAAACACTTTTACAGTTGTCCTAGTCCCTGTGCTAGCAAGGATGGGTATCTTTCTGTACCACAAAAGCACTTTGCTCAGCTTGCTTACTTCTAAGAAGAGATCTACAACACCGAAAGCAAAGCCAAGTTTCCTGAAAGCTCAGAAGCATCTGGTTCAGCCCAAACCTGCAGTCTGTAGCCTGGTTAATAGTGCCAGATCTGAAGACCTGCTGTTTGCATTTCACCCCAAGCTTTACAAATGCATCTGGCCTGATAATATTCTTATTAGACAGAGAGTGGACATGAAAAAATGAGCCACATTCAGATGTGTACGGCCAGCATACAAAATGAGTTACTAGCTGGAATCACATGAGTCTTAGCTATATTAAAAAATGACCTAATAAGAGGATTTCTTACTCATGCTCTTGTCACCTCCCACAGAGGCAGGCAGGTCAGGGTGATAAGTACACACAGAAAACTCAGCCTGCAGCCAAAGGGCGGCAGGGACCAGCTATGCAGCATTGCCAGCTTTGCTGTCAGCAGATTACCGCAGGAGTCAGGGCTAAGAGGGATGAGCTGCTGAAGTTTCCTACAAGATCCCTTTTCTGTGACCTATACTGGAAGGTCATCCTGTACTGTCCTTCTTGGAGAGTATCACAGGCTTAGGAGAGCAGCCAGTTGGAAGACGAAGTGGAAAACCTGCCTTGAAAAATAATCACTGACTAATTTTATGTCACGAGTATCTGAGGCTAAGAAAACACACACGATTTAGGTGTCCTCACTGTACAAACTGGTTCCATGGTGCTACAAAGCAGGCTGGCTGGCCAAAAAACCTGAAGTGAAAGGCCCCAGTATCACCTCAGGTGATAGACTTGGACACATGGGACAAACTCATGTAGCCCCTTGCCCTCCAAATACCACACCTGGCCACACAAGACAGAGCCAGGATGGATCCGGAGGCATCAGCCCATTGCTCAGGAATGTCAAGCCAGTGGCGTGATCCCCAGCTGCTCTCCAGCCATTGCCTCTCTCTTGCTCCAGTATCTCAATCCAAGCTGGCTTCTAGGTCTGAGATGCCCTAGAACTGAGATGCTGGTGTTGTGCTGGGGAAGTGTGGTAGGGCTGCAGGGGTTAGTTATGGGACTGGTTTTGCATGAGACTTGATGCATCTGAGTGTACAAGGCCTTGATTATTAATGCTGATGTCATGGCCCAGATTGCCCTTTCTTACCCCAGAAAGCATGATGCTCTATTCATATCTCCTGCCATGTGTGTTTTCAGTCTACTCC